GGGGGGGGGGGGGGGGGGCGCTCTCTGCGCATGATTTTGGGATGCTCCTAAATTTCTGAGGTTGGTGCGGGAGTTGGCAGAGAAGCTGGAAGGCCATACCATGGGGATCCGGACCCTCCTTGAGGTGGCAGAGCTTTCTTCACAGCACCCTCCTGTCCAGCTGTCCACGTTCATGGAGTGTCTCCATGATGCCAGCGTGGTGGAAGGGAGATCCTCTCCGGACCCTTTCGAATACCGCTTCGTGTGAGTCTAATCGGGCTTCTGGCATAGAGGGCTTACGTCTCCGTCTCGATGAGCCACCTCCACTTGGGTGCAGTTTGGAGAGTGTTCATCCGAGGACGGGTGGTATTTGATGTCCCTTGAATTTTGTGAATCAGATGTAACGTACAGATATGTCTGGCTGCATGCCGAGTCTTTGCTTGCCGCACTGTAGCTGTACAGGGCAGGGAAAGTCCAACTCGGCATTCGAAAGTATAATAAGAAGGAGAACCACACGTCACAAATCGCCATTCAGAGGATCATCGCCACATTGCACGAAAAGGGCCTCTTGAGAAGCCACCCTTTTCTACGCATTTCCGAGCTTCCAGGCACTTTCTTGGAGGGCTTCTTCAAGTCCACTCGGCTGTCATGCCGGCCTGTGCTGGCAGGGCTTCCTTGAAATATGGGCCAGTGGGACTCACCCCCCTCCATTTCCGCAATGAGGAGGATGATCATCTTCATGAGCATACAAAACCAACAATCCCTGGCAAAAAAAGAAGCGGCAAATAATTTCCCTGACACTGGCAATGCCATGGTGTTTTGACATTGATGTAACGGGATTCGAGCGCTGTCCTCGCGAAGCAGGCGCGGTGAATAATTATTTTCAACTAAACATCGCAGTCTTTTCAAAGTCCCGCTTCCTTGCTTCGCATGTTGCCTTCGAAGCATCATGAGACAGCTTCTAGCTTGCAGCCCCAGGTGGAAGGGCGGGGCATTCATGCAATTCCTTTTCAGGGCAGCAGGTTGTTTCATCATACTTCTATGATGATCGCCTCTACCCCGTGCATGACGAAATTAAAGAAATGCAATGAAGCTCACTACGGAACATCGCAAACGCCTCTGTAATTTGCTCCACGTTTGCTCGCAAACCAGACAAGATCAGAGAAATAAATGGTAAGAGCATGATTGTTCTTTACCTTACCTCAGGTGTGGTAAAGACATCTCAAAATTAACAGGCCGCCCGCACGTGAAAACCGTAACTGCATAGCCCCCAAGTAACTAGAATAGAAGAGAATTGGCAGTTGCATATTACGTTTGCACTTCTGATATAACATGGCTGTGAAACCTGAAAAGCTAAAGCGAATGCTTTTCCACGCTTAGCATGATGAAGTCTCGTAAACACTCTACCCTTAAGCACCACCCCTCCCTAACCTAATGTAGTTGGAGGGGGGTGTTGCATCGATGTCTGTGGGTTCGGGGGCCGTTCCGACGGGCCCACTAAAGATCCCGGTGTATTTGTTTGCCGTGGGACATCCCGGCTGAGATAAAGTACTTGGGGGACGTCGGTCATGGACCCCCGGAGCAACTAACAGCAACGAATAATTACTTAAGGGGGTGGTGGGGGACTCCCCAAGTCGATCAGTTGTTGGGGCACTGGTCCCTTGAGCCCACTTAAAACCCTGAACGAACTTCTGAACGACCCCTCTTGCCTTGTTCGGGCTATGGCTATGGCACCTGGGTCGAGTGAAAGTAGTTGGTATTCTATCTTTGGTTTTGCTAATTTTGTTCTCATGGCGCGGTCTTGCGAACGGGAAAGGAAGCCGCCAGGCTCTCGCAGTCCATCCGCCGGAGCCAGAAAGATCACCTTCTGGTTTTCGCCGCCGCCTCTGTGAAATGCGTGGGCTCTGATATTGTAGGGAGTCAACAATTCAGATTTGAAAGCATGACATGCCTGGTAGTGTGACCTCTTCCAAGCATTTGTGAAAGCTTGATCTACGGGCCAGTGCTATGCTTGCAGCCCTAAGAAATGTGAGGTCACTGCCGAGGCCTTCAGCGCAGGCTTGCTTATGTTATTCAGTCGTGAGTGGGAAGGCGGCTGGTTTGCAGTCTCTTATTGTCGTTCGGATGCAAGGCTTCCTCAGCGTGGCGACATCCTTCCCCGGTGTCCAGCGCTCATCTTGTGGAAAAGCCATCGGCGAAGGCTGTGGCTGTATTTGTTGATATTTGGTCGGTTCAGGTTTCTGGCAGCGCCAGTGGCAGGGGCCTCAACCGTGATCCTCGGAGTTTATACGCAGCAACCAAACCTGAGCCAGGTATCCCACTCGGTTTGAACAGCCTGTGGTTCGGTGGGGCGCACAGTTCGGCTGCATCACAGATTTGACGGTGAAGCCGGCAGCCTTGCAAGGAGCCTTCTTCAGCCTCTTCAACATGATCCTCGGCGTTGCATTCTACCTCTGGGGCGCCCGCATTGGTGCCCTGGCCCGGTTCCGAAATTTTGAGTTCTTGTGGCGGCCCGGAGTCCGGAGGTCGGCTTTGCTTCCGAAGGCCCAGAGAGTTATCGGAGATTCTAGAGCTTCTCGGAGCGTTGCAAGTCCTCGCCGCAGGCAGTGGGCAGCCGTCGTGCGATTTTCCGAGGCGTGGCAGAAGGCGCCACGAAGCCAAGCTGCAGACTGGGAAGCGTAGGAATGCCCCTACTCCCCTCTCGGCTCGGGCATCACCGCACTCCACCTAATCCGTATCGTACCGTCTCGTCAGTCCGAGCAGAGCCCTGAGCGAAGCCTAAGAACAGCCTGTGGCAACGATCAGATTCATCGGCATGTGCAGAAGAAGCCTGCGACGTCCCGTGGCGTGCTGCACGGAGCCAGCAAAACAACAGAAAGAGCAGATCATAAGACAAGGCAGCTAGGCAGCGAGCCTTGCGAAGCAATGGCTTCTGCTGCAAAGCTTGGTATGGTGCTTCAGCCCAGCTGAGATCATGTCCGCCGGGTAGAAAGACACAAGGGAGGCTGCGGATCAGATCGCCGAGGTGAACGATGGAAGTCACACAGATCTCCGTCGGAGGGTTTCATTTTCTGGCAGTGTTCTCCAACGGCGATTGCCGGAATCCAAGTGTAATGCAAACCTTCGGCTGCGGGCGAGAGCAATGTCTCATGATGAGGTTATGCATGGGGCAGCAACCAGCATTGCCCTTAAACTTCTTTGGGCGCCGCAGGACTGTTCTGCTGCGTAGTGGCTCGTGAGCGAGGTTTGGGCAAGTTGGTGCCAGCGCCTGAGGGAATCCAAGCCCACTTTAGTTCGCCGTGCTAGCAACTGCGGAGGACGGTTCTCGACAGGACTTCCAGTTGCTTATAGTAGCATGCCTGCCGCGGACGATTCCTTGCTATCTTGCGCGTGACCGCGCAGGATCGCCATCAGCCGGTGTTCGTCCATCATGAGGCGGAAGCTGGGAGAAGAAGTTGCTTGTGCTCGGCGGCCTGGGTTCTTGCCGCATGTCAGGTGCAGCTGGTGTCTGCAGGTCGGTGCCTGGGAGACACCCCATTTAGGCCCTAGCCCTTTTGGGCAACTCCTTTTGGACCCTAAGGTTGGTACCATAGCCTGGCGACTCTCCAAACCGGTGAGACCGTCGCTTGGGGTTACCAGCTCAGCCGCGCTTCCTGTTCTTGGCCGGGATCTTTGAGTTAAAAAGGCGAAAGCCAAAGGGCATGCCGAGGTCGGAACAACTGCGGACAGCTGGGCGATGGAACGAGGACAGATCGCACAAGGCCTTGCATCCGGGAAATCAAGGACACATGGCGTTGCAGCCCTGCTCAGGCCTGTTCCGGTGCTTGGGCCAATGGCGCTTGAAGGGACCAAGCTCATGAATGCAGCCTGCTGAGTTTGCTGGACTGCACGAGAGATTCTTCGCTTCCGCCCACACGGCTGTATGACTGCACGAGGCAGAGCAGCTAGCTGCTGGCGGATCTCTCAAGGATTATTTTTGACAAACATTGCCTTTTGGAGTTCACGGTTCACGCCGCCTTGCAAGGCCAGGACCACAGCTTGGCCATTGTCCAAGTGCCTGGACATGGCAAGTGTGGGACCGAAGCAGCAAGTGTGCGAATCATTCTTCCGGCTTTGCGAAGTCAAGTTTCTAACGACCAGGTCCGTCGTTTATGGTTGGGGGGCGAACGTCGGGAAGCCAGCCTGGAACCTACATGTTGCTGTCGAGACAGCACTTGATTGGTCCTGGTTGTCTTCTTTTTGGTCGACTGCCAGGTTGCAGACGAGGATCGATTTACAATGGTGTCGCCAGATGTGCTGTACCCGCAGGCATTTCTGAAGCCGTGATTTCGCCAGTGGGTTCATCAGCTCCTTTGAGCCAGGCTCTCATTGTGGTCCGGATCCCCAGCGCTGGGGTGGAACTTGCATCGAGCCGCGCATCGCAGCAGCCTCTGGGTCTTGAGGACATCGTTCAAATCAGTGCAGGACGGAATCACTCATTCGCGCGGGCCTTTTTTTGTGGAGATGGTAAAGGGCACGCAGTGAAAGCCCTGAAACCGGACCCAGGCACTTCGCGACACTGGGGAGTTGTTTGCGTGGGGAGCGATGCCCATGCTGCACAGTTCCCGCTTACAGCAATGGTACTGTGAAACCCCCTAAGGCAAGAACGGATATGGCCAGCTCGGAGACTGTGGCGCCCTCACTGGCAAGATCCCGTGAGGATGGAAGCATCGTCGGCCTGCTTTTCAGGCACAGTTCTACCCAAAACGGAGCCGACAAAAGTCATGAACCTGGCCTGTTCCCCAGACGGATGCGTGCGTGGGGGAGGAAGGCCATTGCATGCCCATTCCACAGACGCCATAGACCCTGCCCCTGCCTTCCATTTCTGGCAGACTCAGAGCTCGGGGCAAAGGTGCGGCAGGTCGTAGCTGGCGTTGACTTCAGCCTCGCAGCTCGCGTCTAAGCATGCACTGCGACTCCTCGTTCTTGCCATGTCGAAACGACTTACTGCTGCATATCGAGAGGTCTTGGACAGCAGCACCGTGATGGCCTTTGGTGGGCTCTCAGCGAGCAGTGTCGTGAACCCCTCGATGGCAGCGTTCCTCTGCTGAGGTTGTTGCTCAGGAGGAAGGTTGGGCACGGGAGGCACCACGCACCTGCAGGCAGGACCGATGAGCACGGTGTCCGACTGTATCCATTACCCTTGTCAGTGGCGCATAAATCCCAAGTGCAGGCGCCGACGCCCGTCTTGGAAGGTGTGAAGTCGGTAGTCGCCCGGAGCTTGGAATGCCACAGCCCACGCATCCCGAGGAAGCCTGGGCATGATCTTGAGGCTGGCCACTGCCACTGCTTCGCGCTCCTGGAGTCGGGAGAATGCCTAGGTCCCAACACGCCTTCGTTTTCTGACCCAGATGCCTTCCCGTTCAAACAGGATGGGGTGTGAACCAGCACGGCTGCGTCCGGGTGGGTGCCTGCCACAGCTCAGAAAACTCGGAGCTCCCGAAGCACTGGCATCACTGAGGTGGGGATCCTGAAATCCTGGCTCCAGTCAAGGTCCCCATGAGCCCTCGTTGAAGGCGTGATGGCTTGAGCTTCCGGAAACAGGTCGATCTCAAGGAGATCGTGGAGATCAAAGCAGGGGATGGTACAACCTTAGCACGCCTATCAAATGGCCGCAGCCTTTGTGCTTACAGACAGCAGTTTGTGCGGGGTGATTTCTTGAAGTTCGCGATGTCATTCGGTAGCTGGTGAGGTGAGTATGCCGTTTGGGGCAGCGGGCTCGGCAGCCACTCAAACTCGGGCGAGGAGTCCACAGCAGCGAGCTTTCAGGCCGCAACTGGCAGAACCAAATCGCCTGCCTCAACGATCTTGGATTGCCGCGCACTGAAGACTCGAGGTTGAAGCCACATGCCCGGTCATCGCCAACTCTACGCAGCCTTTGCCATGATCTGCTACTGTCTCTAAGCAGCTTTTGCACCTGGATGAGATCGCCGGCCGAACAGAGCCACCGGAAAACCTGGAGACGGGTGAGTCCGGACAGCATGACAGCATATGACAGCAGTCAGCAGCAAATGATGATGAAAGTTGTCATGCGACGCTCTGTTGACACCGGCGGAGTGGGGTGCTGTGTGCAGGGACGTCAGCTGGAGTCCCAAGCTCTTTTCCGAAGGTTGTCTTTTGTAGCAGTGGGCCATGCGTGTGTTTGCCAATTTCGGGGGAAGCTCAGTCAGTAGCTTCAGATGATTTTCGTAATTATTCGTCTTACATGAGTGTGATATGCCGAAAAGTTTGTCACATCCCCCCCAAGCCTCGGCAGTCAAGGGGGGCCCCTGGTGGTCGGGGGATCTCGCACATCCCGCGTACGCCGCTCCAGAAGAGAAAAGCCGGACGCTTAACGTATGGATCCCGTACTTGGGTGGGGGCCACACCGCCGTCCTAGATCTGCAGCAAACTTCGTCATGGCTGCGCAGCTGTGTGGAAGAAGCGCAAAGTTGCTGTCTGGTCTTGATGTGGATCACGTGGAGCTTTTGTTCGCCTTGACTGAGTGAGAGCGAAAACCTGTTGGAGAACGGGGAGCCCCTGCAGGGTGGGGCTCTGTGAGAGGGTTTTGGTTGAACTCGCGGTTGTGTCATAAGATAGCTCAGACTCAGAAATACGGGCTCACGTCCCTCCCCAAAGCCCCAGATAAAGGTGTGGGCGCACAGGAAGAAGGGTTTCGGGTCAGGTTCGGGCCCTGAAGCCCTTGCAAGAGAGGAAGCTAGCAAGCACGGGCTTGTCAGGCCTAGGGATCAGATCTTAGGGGGTTGGCCGGGCGAGCTCAGTTCAAGCCTGTGGAAAAGGGGGTTGAGGTTGGCCTGCCGAGTGTACTTGCTGTGACAAGCAGACAAGAAATTATCGTAGAGACGGCATGCAGCGTGGCGTGTACAAGCTCAGTGGCACATGAACGGATCTCCGAGGAATGTAGCATTGAACTGGCGCCGTTGGCTTGGGCCGAGGGTTGTTGCACCTCCCCAATGCCCAAACCCCAGGCCATCTTCAGAGACCGAGGTCCAAGTGATACGGTGCGTGGGGAAGTTGCCGTTGAGCACCTCTTCTGCACGGGATCTTGCAGTGTTCAGAACGTTATGGACGAAGACGAACATGTCAATCTTGTGCAAGAGAGGTCGATGGCAGATTCCAGCAACTACGATATCAAGGCCCTCATGGCTTCAAAAGCAGCTCTCAAGGAAGGCACGGGAAGTGTTTTCTGGGCCCGTATTCTGGTCACCTGAGTTTGACCTAAGCAGATTCAGATGGAACGAGATGGCAGGTCGAACGCCGCATGGTGCGGCCGAAGTGGCCGCTGAGTTTGCCGGCAAGGCTGGGCAAGTTTTTGTGTAGGGTTTGGACGGCGCTGAAAACACAGGGAGCCGCCTGCATGGCGACACTTGCAGGCCGCCATGGAGGTGGCTCGCGCCAGCGGCGCCAGCCTGCAGGAGGCCCCAAGACAATCCCATTCTGCGATCCGACGAGCCGATCGACCCCTTCTCACACCTTCGTCACCGTCCCTTTTTCGCTCTCTCGAGCACAGGCTGCGGCAGCTGCAGGGAGAGCCGCGGCCAATGCAGCCCGCACAGCTGGAATGACGCAAGGCACTTCACACACCTGCAGGATCCTGCAGGCGGCACCTTGAGTGAAGAGTCTAGAATCTGTGTGCTGAAGGTATTTGCGCCAAGCTTGCGGCAATCGCAGCGGGGCGGGCAGCTACCGAGCTTTCTTCAGACGTGGCCACAGCGGAAGAGGTGCCAAGTCGAATGCAGAAGAGAAGCTGGGATGTCGAGGCTTGCGAGCAGATGGGAGAGTCCTAGGTGCTCGAAGGTCAATTGTGGGAACCGAGCAAGACCGAAAGCAGTGGTGAAGCCCATCGTAGCGGGCCGTAAAGCAGATTCAGCGACAGGTTGCCGCCTCAGCTGCCGAAGCAGCATATGCAGCAGCCGTGGCTGCTGGCATGGCGCCGCTGTCGGCAGCCAGAGCTGCTGCCATCGCTGCCAGCAAGGCACAGTTCTCGTTGCCAGATTCAACACAATGCAAGCTTCTCGAGATTGTACACTTGCTTCAGCCGCAGCTCTTTTTCTGGCCGGAAGAGCGACCGTGTGACTTGTAGCTTTTGCTGGTGGGGCGGATGTCGGTGGTGGTGTCCAACCTGGCAGGCGGCCTGCTGGCCGAGATCAGCCCCGTGCCGGCGAGTCTCACAGAGTTGAGGCTGCAAATCGAGCAGGCTACCGGCATCCCATCAGCGCTGCAGAAATTGGTGGCAAGCGGTGAGGTGTTGACTGCAACCAGCGAGTGCCCAGCAGAAGGCTTCGAGGTGGTCTTAGTCAAAGACGAGACACCGATGTGGACCTGGGACACGGACAACAACCCGGACTCGTCCCAAATCGAAGTAGAGGGTGCCGTGGTTCGGTCTCCCAAACTTCGCACCGACTATTGCAATGTCGTGACCAAAGAACCCATGCGGTCGGGGCTGCACTATTACGAGTTCGTGCTGCACAAGGTCGGCGACGAGCAATGGTGTGGAGTAACAATGTCGCCGGAGATGGCCGGCAGCAAAGTGGACGGCAGGTCCCTGAAAGCTTGGACCTACTACTGCGGCCGTGCTGGTTCGTCAAGAGCCTCTATCCACAATGGCACGGGTGCGCTGCATGCTTCTGGAAAAGCCGTGGTCGAGTTCGAGAAGGCGTGCACACCAGGAAACGTGATTGGAATGTTGGTTGACGTGGACAAGCGAATCGTGGCCTTTGCCTTAGATGGGCGGGTACAAGGTGCATGCAAGGTTCCCGGAGACGAGCCTTTGTGGGTTCTGACCCAGATGGACACCCCTAAAGATCACGTGGAGTTGCGAAAGCCATCCCTGGAAGAAGCGCCACCTTCGAACTTTGAGGCCCTCAGCGGTGCTCTGCTGGATGCTGCGAAAGGCGAAACTTTGCATTGGTAGAGTCCTGGCATCTCAAACGGTCCCTCGCCAATTGACTTGAATCTCTGGCCAAGTTGCTTTTCTCGGTCAAGTGGCTTGTGCCTCCGTAGATGTGGCACTTACGCCTGTCAGCCCATTGCTTGCTGTACAGATGCGAGGAGGGGGTAAAACACATCATACAAACACGGCCACTATTTGGGTGTGTACCTGTGCAACTTGCTGAACCGCACAGCTCTTGGCTGAAGGCAGCGCACTCGGCTACACTCCGTGCCGGCTGCGACCGAGACCAGGCCGCGTAGGGTGTACAGGGTCTGCCTGTCATGGTTAAGGTGTCTCCGTAGCACCCCGCGCGCAGGCTCAAGCCAAGGCACAGGTCGCTGCGAGTCGGGCGGCGGTGGCTTGGGGCATGCAGGGGCCTTTCGCCCTTTATTGTCAGACGGCCCAATGCATTCCCTGAATTTAAGGCAAGAGGAGGATGCCATTTGGACCACGGCATTTTGCACGGGGAAGCTCACGTGTGATTTAGCAGTAGAAGCTTGGCAGCATGTGTGTGTGTGTGTTTGTGTGTGTGTGTGTGTTCGTTCGGGTTCCTGCGCATGGCATCAAAGTGTCAGCTTCTCAGGCTGACGGCTTGCAGCCGCATGAGGCTTGCGTGTTCAGAGACGTTTATGCAGTCTCTACCTTTTGTTCATGTCTGTGCCGCAGGTGGCGCAGATTGCCTCAAGTGCTGCGAGCAACTTGATGGCGATAGCTCTAGACGGAATGATGTCCAAGCACGAGCACAGCATAGCCTGGCTCGACTTTGCAGAATGAAAGGCCAGATGGCAAGGGCAGAAGCCGAACGAGGAATGCAAGGCCTGGAGGACGCTGCGATGGAGGCACTTGCATGCCAAGTCTGCGAGTGATGTGATGTGCATGCGAGCAGCGATGTATTTGGAAGGCTGGCAAGGCTGCGGCGAGGGTTGGGCTGGATCTGGGTTCGATCCTTGTCGGATCGGCACGCTGCTGCAAGATTTTGCACCTGTTTCTTCCTCCGTTCCCGAGGCATGGGCGAACAGACCTCCTACGAAGTTGCAGCAGCCACTGCCGCAGAGATGGCGGAGGCTCACGACAAGTGGCTACTACATATTTCTGCAGCGCAGCTCCGCTTCAGTTGCTTCCAGCCTCAGGGCCTCGCTTCAGCTGCATGGAAGCGCCTCTCGGCAAGCATATGCTAGCAGTGCCATCGCATTCCCGCGCACTCACGGTGCCTCGAATTGCTGAAGTTCATTGCCAGATTCAGATGCCCGGAAATAGCATGAGTCAGCAGTGCTAGGAGTCATGGAGAGTACACTCTGGATGTGTGGCTGGCAGTGCCCTCACAACAGCTCCCGTGACTTGCGTGTTGACCTTGCCTGATTCAGCCTTGCACCCAGCCCTGCCAAAGCATCGACATGTAGCTGCCCATGCTGCCGGCCGAGCGGTGGATTCGAGCGGCAACACTGCTCTCGGCGCTGCTATGCGCGCTGCTCCCTTCGCCAGGCGCCAGGAGTGTCATTGAGCATGCTGCGAGCTTTGCAGCGAAGTCGACGAAAGCAGGCTTCTTCTCGGCTCCGGGACAGGTTCCGCGGCTCTCGACCAAAGCAGGCTTCCAACTCTCCAGGTCTCTTGGCTTCTGACTCCCGGCCATGGGGGCCCGAGGGGGAACCTGGGATGTCGACGGCAACTGAGGCTCGGAGTGGGAACCTGGCAGTGGGGAAACAAGCTGCTCTGGGGCTACGACGAGAAGGAGGACTCCAACCTGCGTGAGGTGTTCTTGGGCCTGTGTTCAGTGGTCCTCCTCCTCCCGCCTACCTGATGCAATGAATGCGGTGGCTCGAGTAGCGGTAGCGACCCGGTAGTGGTAGTGCTGGTTCAATCTCAGAAGGAGAAGCCAAACTGAACACCAGAAAGGGACTAGTCACTATGGAGCTTCTAGAGATTCTGGTAACTCAGAACTACAGTGCCTTCTCGCAAAGGACTAGACCTGTGAGACAGCCGAACCACCCCACCAGATTGAAAGGGAGTAGATATCTTTAGAAAACAAGCGAAATGCATGCGAAAAGACTGGAGGTCTTTTCCCCGGACAGAGTATCTGGAGCAGGCACCCTCAAGTAGTCCTGTGAGCTCGGGGTCGAGAAGCAAAAGCACAGCGAGTGGTTCCACCAACTCCTGAACCGCTTCCCACACTTAAGAGCCTGCGTCTTAGGGAGATCACAACAAAACCCTGAGGACATAAAAGCTAGCAAGAAAGAGGTGCAACAGCTCAGCAGGCACCGAATTTGACAACGACGGGTCGGCCATGCGAATGCGATCAGAGAAGCGCAGGAAAAGGGAGCCGCTCGAAAGGGGTCGGACAAGTTATTAAACAGGGGGAATTGGAGGAAGAGGAGGCAACCGCTCCACAGGGACCACAGATTTTGAGAAAGTTGAGCAAGGCAGACTGTGTGAGTATGATTGGAGACCATGAGAAAGAGGAGAAAGATAAGAAGAGGCGCTCGAGTTCTACTAGAGCATTGAAGAACTGCTACACTGCACAGCTACCGCTACTGCTACTGCTATCACTGCCTCGGCGACTTCTACTCTGCTTTTGCTGACGCTTCTACTGCTTTCTTTGTGCTACAATGGGTTGTACGACGACACCACCGCTGCACCTTCAACTGTGGACCCGCTTCCACCGCTTCTGCTCCGCCTTCTCCTCCAACGTGTCCTGGCCATCCCTATTCGTGACTCGTGGTTACTCCTTCCACTGCTACTTCAGAGGCGCTCCTTATGGTGCCAAATCTTCTTTTTCTTTGTTATTTGAGCCCTTCGCTCATCATGGCGTTTCTGCCCTTTGCGTCGGCAACTCAAGGTTTCGGACCTTCACGGCCGGAGGGTCCAACTGGTTTGACACAGGCGATAGCTGCTTGGCAGATTCGGCATTTCGAAGCCCAGGAACATTCGTCACAACCTGTAGCAGGTCCGTGGGTGATGCAATCGGAGTAGTGGTGATGGTGAATGGCCGATGATGGCATGGCAATGGCAGCAATCGTCGTCCTACAAGCGGAGCAGCAGCAGTGCAGATGTTGGTCTGTGTATGCTCGTGGTCCTTTTGATCTTAACGTTGTCGCAGTACCTGGAGGTAGAGGAGGGGTGGCGGCTGTAGAAGTCGCAAGACCGTGCCGGACACGGGAAACCACCATGTCTTAACTGACATGACGGGCTTCGCAGCAGTCCTAGCGGATCTGAGGCTACGGAACCGGCGAGCTGGAGGGCCGGGCAGAGATCCTGCTTGGACGCTTCAGCCGCGAAGCTTCCGATTCAGGCAGAAGCACATGTGGCGTCACTATATATAATATACTGCATGATGTTGTGGTACACTGTCTTGCACTGTACCATGCTGTAACACAGAACATCGCCGCTTTGCTGACGGCTCGCGGCCTGTGACATTAGCAACAGCTTTGGCACGAGAAGGTGCTTCGGTAAAGCTGGCGACGAAGCTGGCAGCTTACCCCTGGAGGCCATCTTGCAACAGCTTGCTGCCCAGTCTGGGTTCTGACATAGACTGATTCAATGGGCCTAACGGATGGCAAGCTCGATGAGCCTGCTTGAAAAAGCGTGCGAGCTTCTCGGGGTGTTGGAAGCCCATCGCAGGCTGACGCCAGATTCGATGGTCGAAGCAGTGAAGGCGAGCAATGCACGCTTGGGCAGAGCAGTTGACATTGCTCAGATGCACGCTCCCCGGAGTCTGCTGCTGTTGTGGATTTGAGAGTTGCCCTAGACTCGGGAGTCCTTTGCGGTGCTGCATGTCACTCAGACCACCAACATGCAGACCTCACTAACGCACCTTGATTAGAAAACCTTCCTTTCTCTTCTCGGCAGACTCGTTGAGGGAGTTGGTCTCTGAGGCACTGGAGTCCGCGCAGCTATGGCTTCGGATTTCAGGAGGATGCACTGCTGGAAGGCCTTTGCCGCTGCATCTCTGACAGCAGATGGCGACAACGATTGGTCGCATGCTCACTTCATGCATGTTGCTGGGGGGGCCTGCTTGTCCAAGGCTATGAAGCCGGGCTTTGCAGCGCGGTTGGGCTGTCGAACTTTGGGCCCAAAGGCAGCGAGGGGTCGCGGAGTGCAATCGCCGCTTATAGAAGTGTGCAGTAGGCCTCCGTCGTGCGGCCGCCATCTTTGACACGCGGGGCGTGCCACTAGCCCCATGGCATGGGACATCAGGGTCCACCATGTTAGGCGAGAGCCGAGCAAGACTTGGGCCTCCCAACTCCGAAACCGAGGTCCTCAATCAAGTCCAGTATTCGCTCCTGCCACTCGGCGCACGGGAGAGGTGGGAGAGGACTTGAAGAGTGCGGGAGACCAGCACCGATGTCGAACAGAGGTCAGCAGAGCGCGAGTCTGGAGTCGCCGAAGCAACTTGGCTGTTTTTTTGGTGAATCATAAGTCAGAGCCCCAGACATACCGAGGTTTGCAAGGAGCTGGGCATCCGATTGGTGGCATACAGCCCGCTGTGCCTGGGAGTGCTCGCTGGAAAGTATAAGACAGGCCCTTCGGAGGCAGTTCTGGCCACTGCATACATTGCCGTCCTACTACTGTCATAAGAACTGTGTGTATATTCATGTGAAGATACATAACCAACATGTATATATAGCTCATATATATATATATACACACACACATATATATAGAGGTAAATACATAATATGTATGCAGATGCATATATACACAGCTATATATAGATAGCTAGACAGATAGATAGATGGATAGATAGATAGATATATATATATACACACACACATACATACATACATACATACATACATACATACATACATACATACATACATACATACATAGAGAGAGCGACACGCCCGAAGAGATCGATAGGCGGATAGACTCCATCATAGTTGCTGCTGGCAGTATCCTGTGCCCAGGTCCGGATGCCCAGTTGCTAGATAATTTTCTCCGCTCATTACTTTTCTCTTCACTCCTTGGAGATGCAGGCAGGATCTGCCAATACTGTGAATTCGGTGTTGCGGTGTCGTTCGGCCTTTCCCTTTCTCCCCAAGAGCTAATACCCCTTGGCGCATCTGTGGCTGCAGGCACAACAAAGCTCTTGGGCCTGTTGGGAGAAATCGCGGACACCCGGGGCAAGAGCATGGCTCAGGCTGCGTGGCCGATGCTTAAGATTCCGGATTTCCTCATCGCCGTGTCTGCTAGCTGTCAGCGGCCCCCTCCAGGCCTAATTCTGCCTAGAGTCTGCGTTTGGGGGCGCGACATAGCTGGTCTTGCAATGGCGTTGCAAGTGTGCGTTCCAAGTTGGAATTGAGGTGGCTTTAAACTTCGCCATGACAGAAGGAGGTGGCTGTGCGATCGTCGGCGCCCGGAACCGCCAGCAAGCCCTAGAGAGCTTTAGCTTCAAGCAGTCTTCGTCTGTGGCGATGGTAGGTGAGGGGCTGTGAGTCTCTTGAGTCATGCAAGGCTGGTGTATAGGTGTGGATGTGATACCGAGGAACCTGGGGGCCTGTGGTTGGGAGACCTGGACTTGTCAATCTGTCGGCGGTGGCAGTTCGTGGTGTTACAACTTGTCAGTCTGAGGTAGTTTGTGAGTGGCTCTCGCTCTACTCTTGCACTCCATGTTCTCGTTGTTGTCACATGCGCAGCCCCCCCCTGCGATTCTTGATGCATCCTGATACTTCCCATCGGCTCCAATGTAGACTTTGTCTATCATCTCAGGAGCTTTCCGATGCCGAGGTCCAGTCGCAGCTTGCCCAGGAAGGACTGCCGAAGCATGCGCCGTTTTGGACGTGCCACTTTGAGCTTGATGCAAGAACTTCCTGTCTAAGGCTGTCGCAAGCTGCCCGGAAAGCGCCCAAAACGCAGAAGAACGCCTTCTTTTCGGACTAGCCGACTAGCCTAGCTCGCGGTGTGAGCAGGAAAAGACCACACTGCCTGCCTCTTTCGAGGGCGGCGAGTTGGTGAGATGCCCTGACGTGACCCTGAGGCCAGGAAGAGGTCGCGACTTGGGCCGGGCGCGCTGCCCTGCGTGCAGCCACCTGGGCCGGAGCAGCGGATGAAGAGCTGCTCTCGGACTTATCTTCCAAGGCTGCTGGCCAGGTGGGGGTAACGAAGAAGCCGAGGGGAGACGATGACCTTAGCCTTAGCACCCACTGAGAGGCGGCCGCCAACTTCATTGTGGACGAGGGGAGGAGTACATGCACATGTAGCTCCCTATTTCTCGGAGAAGTCTGGGAATGACGGTAAACGGTTGCATGTTCAGGACCCCCGGAGTGGCGCCAAGCGCGGCTGGCCAAGCAGCCTGCAAGGCTTGCGAAGCATCAGGCGCGATGACTCGATTTTGCAAGCAGTGACTTGCTGGTTTCTCAGCCGCGGCCTGCAACCAACGGAACTAGGCTCTGGGCCCATGTAGTTAAGAAGGCAGCCGAAAAGTCCGGATACGGTAGTAGGCATACAAGAACAACGAAGTATTTGCAAACTGTGCAGAAAGAAGAAAGAGTAAAGGTTATAATCGCACATGCAAAGTCAAGCAGTGCTTAACCTTACTGCTCGACGATGAGTTTGTTGAGAATCGTTTAGCTTGTATCCTATGTCGTCAAAAGCATGATGAGGTGATGAATGAATTCCTATGACCTGCAGGCCTGTCCTTTGTTTAAATTTGCTCTTTATTTAAAATTTGCTCTAAGCGCAAATTTAAAAAACCACTTTGTTTTGTCCTTTTGGAATTTGTCCTTTTCGTTTGGAATTTGTGCTTTTGACTATTTTGGACCGGCAAGCTGATCCAAACGCTCGGAAAACCTGTATGGTACTGTTCGCTTTCGAGCAGTTCGTCGCTGAAATGCATCCATAGACATGCGCTCAGCCTGAAATCAAGTTTGGAAACATCCGTAGATTGTGCCGGGTGACATGATTTTAGTGTTAGTACCAGAGCATCCTCGCCCGGCCGTCTATGATATGCGTCCACGTTCCCGTGCATATCTATATCGGTAGCATTCGGTAGCTATATCTATACAAAAATCTGTTCAGATATGGGGGGTTCGCCGCTCATATCTGAGGAGATCAGTTCCCCCACCTGTAGCAGCAGAGTCAGTAGTAGAACACGTTTGGTTTCCTTCTAGTTCTGGAAGTTCAGGATGCCGGTCAAAACCATGCAGTCAATTCATAACTTAAGTGCGGATCTCAGTACTATTTGGTAGTTCGGGGTTTTGCTGTCTTTACACACACTTGCTTGGCATCACGCATGGAGTTTCAAAGCTTTTCCGGGGTGAATACATACATACATACATACATACATACATACATACATGCATAAATACATATATATATACATACATACATACATACATACATACATACATACACACATACATACATGCATACATGTGTATACATAGGGTTGACTCATATATGGTTATAGGTATTCATGCTTATTTAATATAGCACGGTATCGTGGGGGAAGATACAGGGTTCGAGTGCGTGCATCGCCGTGCCACGAAGCAACACGGCTCATGCAACAAGGTGATGTGGTCTGTAGTTAACTACCAAACTTACGATCAGAATATTGTTCTATTTTTTATAGAGGCTATAGAATTTTTCGATTACCGATAGGCTTTCGGTGTGTCTCGACATAATGGCGGATGCTCCTGCGGATGATGCTCCTTCGACCTACTACGGGGACTTGGTGAGATTCAAGAAGTCCACAGAGCCGGAACGTGTGATTGCTCTTTGGGGTGGTGTGACGGCGGCTCTTGTGTCCTGCTTGCAGCATATACATGCAGTGCATTAAATTACGTCTGAGAATATGCCGGCTGCTGATCCCCAGGATCAGTTTGTCGTGGCTGCGGATCTAGCGACAGTCGATTCTGCAGCGGCACCGCAGCGGAACGAACTACTTCAAAAGAACCGCGACGTGGTTCACGCGCAACTTGCTATATGGTCAAACCTATACAGACGGGTCCATAAATTTCCGATCCTACGCACGGGTGCGATGTACTGCTTTGCACCGAAGCCTTATAAGGACTTTGACAGCCTGCACTGAGCTCAACAAAGTGCTTTCGGTTGACCAACTGCACTACTGCATCATGAAGAAGTACGACGTTACGGCGCTTG